GGGCTCTCCCCACCCACCCACACCCCCTGCCGCCCCAGCTCTGGGCTCCCTCATTCCCCCCCACCATTGCCCCACACACACACCTCCTGCCGCCCCAGCCCTGGGCTCTCTCCCCCCCTCCCCCACCTGCACCCTCCTTCCGCTGCAGCCCTGGGTCACTGGTAACTCGCTCCCACGGCAGGTCATTCAGCAGGAATTTTAGATGTGCACAGAACACAGACAGGATTGGTTCCCATATGGTTACAGAACTGCAGTAAAGTGGAACAATTTTCAGCTTGTGTGATTGGAGGATGTCTGGATGCATATTATAAGACTGTCCTACATAAATGAGGAAAAGTTGAGGTGCCTTTATTATTCTTTTGTTCCACTCTTTCTTTCTATGGGGAATTTGCCAATGCAATATCACTGTCTTCCTTTTAAACAAACAAACAAACACTGTTGAAAATAGCAATTCCAGTCCTAATAACCACTGGGAAGCATTTCTTGCTCAATTTTATCCTACTTTTTCTACAGCAAGTTACAGTGGATCAGTATATTTGGTTTGGGAGAAATGAAGTAACAGCTGCCCAAACTGAGCTTGAGCACTCCTGAATTTTGAGGTGTTCAAATCTGGAAGGCAGGTGCTGGGGGGGTAGAGGGGGCTGTGGCTCCGCAGGGGAGCACGGCAGCATGTATGCAGCAGTGTGTCTGGCGCTGCGCGGAGCCAGACATGCTGGTCTGAGTGGCACGGTAAGGGGGCTGGGGGGTTGGATGGGGTGGAGGTTCAGGGGGGCAGTCAGGGGCAGGGAGAAGGGGGGGTTAGATGGGTCAGGGGTTGGGGAGGCAGTCAGGGGACAGGCAGCGGTTGGATAGGCATGGGAGTCCCGGGGATTTGTCAGGGGACAGGTAGGGGGTGGGGTCCTAGGGGGGAAGTTGGGGCGGTCTCAGGAGGGGGCAGTTGGGGACAAGGAGAAGGGAGGCTTAGATAGGGGGTGGGATCCTGGGGGCAGTTAGGGGCAGGGGTCCCAGGAGTGGGTGATCAGGGGACAGGGAGCAGGGGGGTTGGATGAGTTGGGGTTTCTGTGGGGGGCAGTCAGAGGGGGTGGATGGTGCCAGGGTGGGGCTACCCTCCCTCCCTGTGGAGTGTCCTATTTTTTGAATGTTAAAATATGGTATCCCTGCCCTTCCCAGTGCAGCTCTCCATTCACAGCAGGCTGCAGCGTGAGGTCTCAGCTTCCCCACTCCCTCCCCCTCTTTTCTGTTGGTAGTGGCCAAGGGAATGCTGGGAAATGTAGTTCTTTCCCTGCTCCAGGGCTGGCTCTATAGGCAGGGACCTAACCAAGGAACTACAGCTCCCAGAGCCCCCTGTTGGTTCTCAGCTCCCATGCTGGATCCCTGCCGCCCCTGCAAATGGGCTGCCCCAAGCACGTGCTTGCTTTGCTGGTGCCTAGAGCCGCCCCTGATTGCTCTCCCAGCAGATGTCAGGGTGATTGAAGTCCCCCATGAGAATCAGGGCCTGTGATCTGTAAACTTCTGTTAGTTGTCCAAAGAAAGTCTCGTCTACCTCATCCCCCTGGTCTGGTGGTCTACAGCAGACGTCCACCACGACATCACCCTTGTTACTCTCGCCTCTAAACTTAACCCAAAAACTCTCAACAGGCTTTTCTCCAGTTTCATACTGAAGCTCTGAGCAATCCTACAGACTTCACACTACAGACTTCTGCCAGCACTGGATTCCTAACCGGCAAAGCTGTGTTGGCAGAAGTCTGTAGCGTAGCTGCCGCTAGACCATCAAAACTGAACTTTTACTGCTTTCGGGATACAGTTACCTCCACACCAGAAGCGTGTTGTGGGTGTAGTATACTGGTGTTCCTATACCAGTACGGCACTCCTAGTGTAGCCACAGCCTAACTATAGGGGTAAAAGAATCACACACCCCCAACCAACATTTTTATACCAAGACAAAATAACCCAGGCCTGAGAGTTTATCTGTGTTTCATTAGCAATGAGTGAAGCTGGATGCAGGCTCATGTGAACACGTGGAAATGTATTAAATCCTGTGTACTGCTGTATCCATGTGGCTGAGTTGCTTTCAGCCAGACTCCACCAGCGCCCTGTTCCCCTGGTGTCCCTTCAACAATAACCCCTTCAAGGAACATGGGCCCTCTGATTCCATGCCCATGAAAATTAACCCACAATAAGGCCGAGTGTGAATTTAAAATGGATTAACTATTCCAGATCAACTCCATGTGTGAACGAGGCTACGTCTTCACTGCCAAAACTGGCTTGTTCTTTCAGCGAGATAACTAATCTACTGACATATGTAATTAGCTCTCACTGTGAAACCCTAGTGGAGACAAGGTTCTGTAGCTTTTACTGCAATATAGCTAGGTAGGGTTGACATTATAGGCTCCCCCAGCCAAGTGTGACCTCCTTCAACTATGGCAAAAACTCCAGTGTCTTGACTCCAGCCTGATTTCCCAGCAAGAGAGCTACAGCAATGGAAAAACTCTCCTTTTACTGCAGTGAAGACAAAGCCAGAGTTCACTGATTGCCAATCAACATGTGCTAACTAAGCCAGTTGTAAACAGCAATGGGGGCACTTCCCACCTCCTGGCCCTTGTTCACCCCAGGATTGTCACCTCCTTGTCTCTTGGCCCAGCAGCCAGCATGTATTCTCCGAGGCTGCCCTGACCTCTGCTGGCCCCCTATGGCAAAGACAGCACCCGAAGGAACATTCCTTAGGTGCAGCACTCAGTGCAACTCCAAGGGAACAGACCTGAAACTGATGATGTTTTTCTTTGCAACGCACAATTAGCCTGTGGAACTCACTGCCACATGATGTCACTGTGGTAAAAAGCTTAGTAGACTCAATAAAGGAGCAGGCAGCTGTAGGAACCTGTCTGTCTACCACCAATTGCAGGCAAATGGAGACCCAGACTTTTGTGCCCATGTGCTGGGTTTGTGGAGAAGCTTCACTTTAGCCCCTTCTGCTGCAATGCACTGAATAATTATTAGAATGTCCTCGGCTTTGCTTTCTGTCACTAGCCATTAGAATTGTAGCGGGTTTATGGATCGCTGTAGCCCTAAGGGCAGCTAATGATCAACAGGAGACCTTACCCAGTGTCACTCTGCTTTGGGTTTCAATGCCCTGGGCTCTTTGCTGCTAACTAGTGGTGCCTCTCCCTGACTGTTTAAAGAAGTTACGAACCCGACCTCACCTCCCAATGTGGTTCAACTATCCCTGACCCAGTATTTACTCCTATGATTAGCCTGACACCGCGGACATATATTCTTCTGACACCTCCATAACAGATGAGCCAACAATCAAGGGACACTTTATTTACAAGGGGAAATACAGACAAAGCATGTAAAGGGAAGAGGAAGGTGGATTTGAAGTGGGTACATGAGTAACACTATGCAACCTGCAGGTAACACAGCCCCAGGGTGGATTTCCCTGAATTCATAAGTCCAGTTTATTCCACACTAGCGGGCTCCATAATGTGGAGGAACCCACGTGCCTTGATGAGTCATTGCAGGCCTGAAGGTGCTTGAGTGCAGTGAGGTGATGAGGGGCCTGATTCGCCCAGGGGGCCAACCTCTCTGCTGCAGCAATCGGTGTTACTCGCAGTGGAAAGTCCTCACAGCCTAGGGGGCCTCCATGGTGTTTCTAAGTCCAGTTTATCTCTGCTAGAATAGTTCAGCAAACGCCTTTCAGTGCAAAATAGGCAACACCCCAGGCAAGGGGAGACAGTCAGGGGATCGCCCGCACTCCCCTCAGGCAGGGGAGACAGGCAGGGGGTCGCCCGTGCTCCCCTCAGGCAGGGGAGACAGTCAGAGGATCACCCGCGCTCCCCTCAGGCAGGGGAGACAGTCAGAGGATCACCCGCACACCTCTCAGGCAAGGGGCCGCCCGCGCTCCCCTCAGGCAGGGGAGACAGTCAGAGGATCGCCCGTGCTCCCTTCAGGCAGGGGAGACAGGCAGGGGGTCGCCCGCGCTCCCCTCAGTCAGGGGAGACAGGCAGGGGGTCGCCCGCGCTCCCCTCAGGCAGGGGAGACAGTCAGGGGGTCGCCCACGTTCTCTCAGGCGGGAGACAGTCAGGGGGTCGCCCACATTCTCTCAGGCAGAGCTCTCCTCCTCTCATCACCCCTTTGATCGGCTTAGTGAGCCTTCCTCCTTCCCCCAGGGTTTGGCCAGTCACCAGGCTCAGCGCCCTGGGCGAGGTGAGCACACTGCTGTCTTCCCCATCTCTTGTCTACCCAGCAACAAGGCTGGCTCCCTTTCTGGTCTGATCCGTTAACCCGGCTTACACAGCACTGCTCGGTGATTTCCCTTTGCAGGGCAGCGGTCGGGCTACAGTTTAAACCTCGGTGCCTAGGCAATGAGAACGTGGCCAGCATGACTATTATTAATCTTCTGGTAACATGTGGAGGCCTCAACTGAGATCAGGCCCCTGTTGTGCAGAGTGCTGCACAGACAGGGGGTGTGAGATAGTGCCTGCCCCAGCTGAGGTCAGAGCCCCATTGTGCCAGGGGCTGCACAGACACACAATGAGAGATGATCCCTGCCCTGAAGAACTTAGGGCGAGAGTTTCAAAGGGATCGAGGTACCTAACTGCATCTTTAGGGATCTAAATACTTGTGTAAATCTGGCTTTTAGGCTATGTCTACACTGCAATGAAACACCGGCGGCTGGCCCCTGCCAGCTGCCTTGGGCTCAGGCTGTGGGGCTGATTCATTGCAGCGTAGATGTTCGCATTGTCCCTGAGCCTGAATGCCAGGCAGCCAGAGTCGTCTGGCATGGACCAGTCATGGGTGTCTAGTTGCAGTGTAGATGGACCCTTCCAGTCTAAATGGACACCGGTTAGTAGGGGAAATTGAGGCACAGAGAGGGGAAGTGCCTTGCCCAAGGTTGTCCAGCAGCTCAGAGCTGGGAATAGAAACCTGGTTTTCTGTATCCTAGTCAAGTGCCCTCCCACCTGGGCCTTATTGCCTTATCAGTGCTGGGCTTGTTTCCCTAGGGATGACCTGCCAGGCTCGGAGCTCCTACCTGATGGACGAGGTGCTGTGGGGACATCGCTTCATGTCAGTGCTGAGCTTGGAGGATGGCTTCTACGAGGTGGACTACAACAGCTTTCACCAGACCTTCGAGGTGCCCACGCCCAGCTGCAGCGCCAAGGAACTGGCCGAGGCCACAGCCCGCATGGACGCCCACCTCTACTGGTCCATCCCCAGCCGGCTGGACGAGAAGGTGGAGGAAGGGACAGAGAAAGAAGCAGGGGATAAGGAGAGGAACGGTAGCCTGGCCAACCCGGAGAGTGAGTCCAAGGTGTAATGGGATGGTGCAGAGGTGGGGAGACAGAGCCAGCCAAGGACAAAGTGTTCAGGTGCAGAACGGAAGATTGAGGGATGGTAGAAGGATGAGAGGAAGGAGACTCATGAAGCAACAGGTGTTTGGGAAGGAGGGATGGACAGAAGAAGGAGTGATAGCTGGTGAAGGAGGTAGAGAGAAGAGTGAATGGGGAGATAAATGGATGGCAGATGTACCCCATTATTTGGGTCTGTAAAACAGGGTAAAATGGGTAGTGGTAGCAACTCTGCAGATATGGCGGAGTTGTGTGCAAGGGGTGAATATGCAGGTAATAAATCAGATATTTATAAACATATGTCTATTTTATAGCTGTACAGATAAATGTACGAGGCCCGCTCCATGAAGGAGCAGGAGGAGGGTTTTTATAGCAGTGACATCAATTGTATAGAAGCATGGGATGGCGTGTCATTTTGGAGCAAACAGGTGGGATGGAAGGATGGAGCTAAGAACAAGATGGATGAGTGAACGGGACAACAGAAGAGGAGTAGCTGTCCTCAGCGTACGGGTGCGCGGTATGAAGCGCTGGAAGAATGGCCTTGCAGAAAGATGACTTTTTAAGCAGAAGAGTGTGGAGCAGCTCGATAAGTGTATGGAGGAGCGAGGGACTGGGTGCACGGACCATGGGGCGGATGGACGGGGGCTATGCACTGGTGTATCTGCATAGCTGGAGAGATAGATGGAGAATGTCAAGGAGTTGAATACATAGGTAGATAAGCTGGAGAAAGGACCCATGAAGACAAGCGCTGTGGTCAACCATGGCTTTGTGATGGGTAACTCAGCAGGTTGAGGGATTTATGCAAAGATTAAACTCATGGACAGGAAGGGTAGATGGTGTGACAGACCCAGACCAGTGGGGTACAGGAGTCTGGTAGAGGGCAAATATACTGGTCACTGGATGAGTAGTTTTCTGTTCCCCGAGTGACCAGAGCAGGGGCTGCACTAGAGTAATCAGGAACCTGCTAGAACCAGTTAAGGCAGGCAGGCTAATTAGGACACCTGGAGCCAATTAAGCAGAAGCTTCTAGAATCAATTAAGGCAGGCTAATCAGGGCACCTGGGTTTTAAAAAGGAGCTCACTTCAGTTTGTGGTGGGAGTGTGAGGAGCTGGGAGCAAGAGGTGCAAGGAGCTGAGAGTGAGAGGGTGTGCTGCTGGAGGACTGAGGAGCACAAGCGTTATCAGACACCAGGAGGAAGGTCCTGTGGTGAGAATAAGGAAGGTGTTTGGAGGAGGCCATGGGGAAGTAGCCCAGGGAATTGTAGCTGTCATGCAGCTGTTACCGGAGGCACTCTAGACAGCTGCAGTCCACAGGGCCCTGGGCTGGAACCCGGAGTAGAGGGCGGGCCCGGGTTCCCCCCAAACCTCCCAATTGACTTGGACTGTGGGTTCTTCCAGAGGGGAAGGTCTCTGGGCTGTTCCCCAACCCACATGGTGAATCTCTGAGGCAAGAAAATCCGCCAATAAGCGCAGGACCCACCAAGATAGAGGAGGAACTTTGTCACAATGGATAAAAAGGAAATGAGAGAGAATTGCAGCAAAGACCAGGACCGGCTATGGGCAGCATGATGTCGGGTGACCTGCCGAGCGTCCCCAGTGCCGTGCCCTCCCCTGCACTCAGACACACTAGCACCCCCAAAGCTCCCGAGCTTGCTGTTTCTCTTGCTTTCTTTTAATAAAAAAAGGTTTTGAAATGGACATGCCGTCTCCCCTCTGCCTTCCAAGGCTTTGGGCCAGATCCTCAACTGGTGTAAACCAGACTTGCGCCATTATCTGCTATATTACGGCAGTGCTGGAGGACCCCTCCTGAGCTCAGGTACCCATGGCGCAAGGTGCTACACACATCCACACCTAGTGACAGGCAGTCCCACAAGAGCTCACAATAGACAAAGGGCAGGTGGGGAAACAACTCACCCAAGGCCAGGAATAGAAGCCAGCTCTGCCAGTTCCCAGCCCAGAGTCCACTGACTTCAACAGAGCTGTCTCTGTTCACCCCAGCTGAGGATCTGGCCTTTTGGTCTGTGTACTGAAAAACAAAGGGAATTAAATCAAGGGGAAGCCGGATTTCAAGAGCCAGGGTCAGTGTGAGGCAAAGGAGCAGACCATGCCTTGGAGACGTGTTTAGGGAACAGGTCTCTCATCGCAATGGGACTCATTTTGTCAAAAATGGTCCCTAGTTATGGGCGCCTCCAGTTTGAGATACCCAGGGTCTGAATTCCGGTGATGCTGCTGACACCTGCTTCACCTGTCGTCTTGGCTGCCCAGCAGCACTCGTGGAAACCAGAGCCATGGTGGGTACCGAAAAATGGATGCACCTCAAACCAGTGAGAAATTAACATCTTCCTGGTAAAATGGCCAGAGAAAAAAAGAGGAACTTCTCAGCTCCCTATTCTGCAAACCATTTAAACCCGTGCTTAAATGTCTTACTGACTTGGGGCCTGCGTGGCTGAGGGCAGAGTTCCCAATAACACCACCGAGTGGAGCTTTTAATCTGAGCAAGAGAGAGACGTGGCACTGAACTGCAGTAGCATCTGCACTGTAGCTACAGGCACTTGGATGCTGAGAGTGCTTGAGAGATAGAGGGGCGGCTGCATAGATCTCGCATCAGGCACTCCAGTCCTCAGTTCTGGGAACTTGGCTTTTAACACTCCACGCCTGGAAAAGCGATTAGAAAGGGGAAGAGACAGAGAGATGCCCTGGAAAAAGCTTCCAAATTCCACTTCCTCAGCATCCAGCAATGGAGTCACCGCTGGAACAGATCTGTTCTGTGTGTGCCAAGTGGGAAAAAAACATCCAAAAATGGGGACTCTCTGGGTCAGTCCGGGTGAAGGACAGTAATTGTTTTTCACAATGCCGTCTGTGTATTTAAGCATCAGATCTGGGTTCCCCTGCATGTGTACTGGCTAGCCACTTTGTTCATGAATATCTATATGGTGAAGATAATGTTAGACCCAATATTGCACAATGTAGGGTATAATTTGCCCTGTGCAGCATGCTAGGATAAAGTCCTGCTTCTGCCCAAAGCCAATAACATGCATGATCCAAAACTGTGATTTCTCCAGACACGCCCTCCATTTCTGGAGCAGTCCAGCTTTTTTTAGAAAACACCATGTGATGCCAAGTGGCCAATCATAAATGTATTTGGAGACAATTAGAAATAATCCATACAGCCACCGAGTTTTAAGGCCAGAAGAGGCCATTAGACCATCTGGTCTGACCTTCTGTATATCACAGGCCATTACATTTCACCCAGATTCCCCTGATTAGAGCCCTATAAACTGTGTTTGGCTAAAGCGTCTCTTCCAGAAAGGCATCGGCATGACAACAAATCAAACAAAAAAGGTTTGTGATGGAAACTAACAAAACAACAATTTTGGAGGAGGAAGTTTTCAGTGAAAAACTGTGAAAAAATGTCACAAATCTTAGTGGGGTTTTTTCACATGACGGAAAAATGTGGCAGAAATGTGTCCAACTCCCCCCACACCCCACAATATTTTACTAATGATCCCAGCTTTAGTTTCCATTGCGGAGGGCCAGTCTGTCATGGTTCCTCCCTCCTGCTGCCATTCTGGCATCGCACCCGACCCCCACCCTTCGCCTTACGGATAGTGAGTCCCCAAGATGGGTCCCCATCTCCTTTTCAGTCTGGGCAAAGCCAGGTTACGTAGGTGGCCCACTTGACTCCACCCCCTTCTATCAGCGGATTGGTGTGGCGGTGATGCGGGCGCTGTACCGATCCGTGGTGGTGAAGCGGAAGCTGAGTTCTTGGACAAAGCTCTCAGGTTACAGGTCACTCTACGTCCCCATCCTCACCTATGGTCATGAACTTTGGGTAATGACCGAAAGGACAAGATTGTGGGTACAAGCAGCGGAAATGAGGTTTCTCTGCAAGGTGGCTCTGCTTACTCTCTGAGATACGGTGAGGAGATCGGCTATGCGGGAGGGTCTCAGAATAGAACCGCTACTCCTCCAGATCAAGAGGAACCAATTGAAGTGGTTTGGGCACCTGATAAGGATGCCCCCCTAGGAGGCTTCCATTGGAACTCTACCAGGCACGTCCCACTGGGCGGAGGCCCCAAGGCCAACCCAAGACATGCTGGAGGGACGATATCTGCCGGCTGGCCTGGGAATGCTGGTGAATCCCCCAGGAGGAGCTGGAACATGTTGCGGAGGAAAAGGAGGTCTGGTCCTCCCTACTCTCCATGCTGCCGCTGTGACTCCCACCAGGAAAAGTGACATAAAGGAAGAAGAAGAAGAAGAAGAAAGAGAAGCAGATCCCAGCTTTAATTTTGATGATACGGCCACTGCACTATGACACATCACGGGGCAGAGACTGTCTTTTGGTTCTGTGTGCGTACAGATCCTAGCACAGTGGTGGTCTGCTCTGGATTGAGGCTTCTATACAAATTATCAATATAAAAGGAAGGATTCTACTCCAGCAGCAGTTTGTCCACCAAAAGGATTATTAAAAGGCTGCTGACAAAGGCACAGGTATTTAGGTGCCTACCTCCCATTGAGACCAATGGGAGTCCGGCACCTAAATATCTGTGAGACTCTGGACGGGCATCCATACCATTAGCTTGTCAGCGTTTTGGGCCCAGGGCGGGCTTTTTACACTGCCTAGCACCGTGGGGTCCTTAATTATAACAATAAATAGGTGGAGCTGCTCAAAACAGCCCTAAAAGGTTGCAGACATTTCAAAAATCATTAATGCATTTTCCTCCTCTTGGTTTTGGAACTGACCTGAACCAATTTTGCCTCTTTCAAATTTTCGACGGATTTTTCAAAATCAAATTCTTGGTGGTGGTTTTTGTTCCCCGAGTCGGTGCTTTTCACTCCAGGAACACTTCCTATTTTCAGAATCCAGTGTTGTTTGAGTGGAGCAGGGTGGAAACCTCCCCCCAAGTGATTAGACCAAATAGTGAAAATTGCTGATGAAAAAACAAACACAAATAAATCAGCCCAGAAACTGAAAGTGGAACAAAAGATGAAAAATTGGGGGTGGGGTGGAGTGGAGGGGAATGTCTATTGCAAATGCTGTGTCTTTGCTCTTTACACGATAATAAGAATCCAGACGACATGAACACAGCTGGCTTCCGAGTAACCGTGTTTACTAGCTGTATATAAATCCACAAGGCCTAGCACATGGATACACTGCTGCTGTGTTAGGTTGTAGTGGCTTCTGCAATAGCAGCCAGGCAGGCTTCTCGCTAGAGAATTCCCAGCCTCTGTAAAGGGATGCTACCCAACTGCAGTAGGCTACGGAAAACTTTCAGAATATGGCTTTGTTCAGACCAAAATAATAAAGTCAACCAGTTTTCATCCCAAATCCCTTCTTCCTCGAACGTTAGCCACTGCCTGGCCCTGCCACCAG